TCTTCGAATTGTCATCGCAACGATCATCATGAGACCTCCATCTGAAACGTGCTGATGCCCACCACAGCCCACCTCTCATCATTCTGTAGACATTTATTTTTAATAGCGTATTAGTAAATCAAAGAACAAAGGAACGATCGAATAAATGATTAACTGAATGATTGAATAATTGGTTGAATGAATGAGTGAATTAATGAATGAATTAATAAATCAATGATTCAATTAATGAATAGAATGAATTAACGAATCAATTAATAGAAGAATAAATTTAAAAGGTTGAGTGATAAAATGAACGAATGAGAAAAATAAAAAACGAAACTAAACCTTACTTCAAAAATCGTCGTTACTGTACTTTCCATTGCACCGACCACCACCATCTGGTCAGCACACAAAATACCATCCGAACTTCAGAGTGTCAGCGAGCTGATTCTTCCTACACCACCATCATCATATGTAAATCATCATGAAACCACCATCTAAAACGGGCTGACTCCCGCCACTGCCCACCTCTCATCATTCTGTAAACAAAATTTTTTTATTAGCGTAGTTGTAAATGAGTGTTAGAATCTTAGAAGCAAAAAAAATTAAATTATAAAATGAAAATAATGTCAAATAAATAAAATTTTAAAATAATAAAGTAAGTAAAATGTAAAAAAAACTTACCGTCGTCCATTCGACAAAGGCAGAATGTTGAATGCAGTCCGGTTCCTACGTTGTCCTCCAAAACTGGTGCCAGTCCTCCTCGAGATTGTTGTTGAAACACAGCCCGTATTGATGGAGAAAGATAGAGAAATAGTAGATTCTCATCAGAAAACTTAGCGGTGCCTGCATCTCTAATTGTTTAATAAAAATAATCCTATTTACCTATTCAATTACCTTAACTAATCTATATTAAATTGTTAATGAAAACCATTGCCGTGATGATAGTAGACTATTGCTGTGCGGATAGTAAACCATTTGCCGTCCGGAAGCCGTGCGGGTAGTAGACTATGGCCATGCCGCATGGTAAATCATTACCGTGCAGATAGTAAACTATTGCCGTCCGGATAGTAAACCATTGCCGGTACACCACTGGCCACCAAGGCTTACCACTGACAACAGACTTCGAAATTCAGAGTCTATCGGCTATCGTGCCCTCAACTTACCTATTCATTACAATTAAGCCCTAGCTTACCTAAAATTACAAAAAAATCTCAAGAGCCCAATTCATTTGCCAATCGGCACCCACCCCACCACCTTGGGCTTGGGCTCCATCTTAGTAATAATATAAAACTTAAACCCTAAATCTATTAATGAGTGTGTGTTACAACGTAGCCTTAACTTACCTATTCATTACATTATGGCCCTAGCTTACCTAAAATTACAAAACTCAAGAGCCCAATTCATTGGCCTTTCGGCACCCACCCCACCACCTACGTAATGCCTTGGGCTCCAACCTAATATTAATATTGTAAAACTTAATAACTAACCTACCTCTTGATACACTTACAGCGTTTATTTAATTTAAATTACAAGATTGTTCCTAGAATTAAATTATTGCTTTTAACTACCTATAAAATAAATTACTCTCAAACTTAGTAATAATAAATTAGAATGTGTAATGAAAATAAAATAACGCTCAAATACTAATATGTGTTTATGTATGTATTTGTGTGTGTATATATAATACGCTGATGCGTGTATGTGGGTGCGAGAAAAAATAGAAGAGATAAACTTACGCTGCCTACCTATTCAACTACACTAGTGTTGGATGTTTCCTATCTATCCTACCTATAATTAAAATTATGCCTATCTAACCTACCTATATATCTACTTTATGTAATTGTGTGTATGTGCGTCTGCGTGTGCGTGTGAGCATTCTTACCTAATGTTAAATTACAGAGAAAAACAGAGAAAAAAGAATAAAACGTATCCCAGCCAGGCGTATCTTCTTTGCCACTGAATGAACGAACGTAGTCTAACATCTTCCACGATGAATTTCTTTGGAAGCTTCAACCTGAATAAAATGGATGAAATGGAAAAATCTTATTTATTTGACTAATTTAAATGAAAATAGAAAAACGAGCCGCGGTGAAACCCGCCGGAAAAGCTAGCGAACTGTCAAAAAAAGAACCGCAAAGAAACCGTAAAACGTACCCCAGCAGGGCGTGCATTTTTTGCCACCGAATGAACGAACGTAGCGTGACATCACAACCATTCTGATCGTTCACGATGAACTCCTCTGGAAGCTTCAACCTGGATAAATGAACCTGAAAAACCTAAATGAATGGAAAAATCTTATTTTTTCAATTTAAATGAAAATAACCGCAAAGAAACCGACCGGTCGGCAAAGAAAAGAGAAAAGAAGAGCAAAGAAGGGTATCTATATAGGATTTATGCTCTATATAACTCTATATAACTCTATATAACTCTATATAATTCTATATAACTCTATATAACTCTATATAACTCTATATATTTTATAAATTCATTATAAAAACAACAGTAATCATTGCTATATATGTACGCACGCAGTTCAAATTTTTCGGGGAGAATTCAAAATAGTTTAAGACCACACCTTGCTTAACATCCGATTCCAAGCCAAGCCAAGCTGAGCCAATATGCATAGATTTATAAGCGCTTTTATATTAAAATTTTGCTCGCTTTTTAAACGAATATCTCAACATATAATTAGATTAAATATAACGGCCTTCGCTCATTTTTGACGGTCGAGCAAGGAGCTTACTTCCGGAGGGGAATTGGAGGGTGATTTTTTATCGCCCAAGTCTAAAATTACGATCGTTTATTTACTAATTTCGGAATATTGCTTTTATTTAAAATGTTTTGAAAGGTGATACAAGATGCTGTTTTAGGATAGATATTGCTGTATGACGGTTTTTGCATTTTAAATTATAAAAATTTTTGTGAACCACTTTTCTAACACTTGACTCGTTAACGATTAGCTGTAACCGGTAAGGGTAACGTAACAACATTAACGACGACTAATTAGTAATTAAATTACTAAACTCTAATAATTATGCTAAAACTAAACTACTAATTCTAATTACTAATTAAAATAAATAACAGATAACATTAACGAACATTAACAGATTAGACTACTAGAGACTACCAACCACTACACTACTACATACTACAACTACTACACTAACAGCACTTGTTCCTAAAATCCTAAATCCTATTGCTTGATTGGTTGTAAAATTTTTACTTACAATGCTTAGGCCTGGGAATAAAGAATATATTTTTTAAAATAACTAATATTCAATGATTTTTGCTAGTTATTCAATTATGTGGATAATTTCATATAATTAGAATAATTTGTCGTGCTTGGATTATTGGCTTACGAAATTGCATGGATTTTAACGAGCAAGCTATATGAAATATTTACTTGACTTAATATGCTTAAAACATTGTAGTAATTCTCTTTAATTTTATTAAATAAAATTATGATTTTATTAAATAAAATTATGTATTTTTAAATTATTGTTGTTAATTTGAATATAAAAATTATACTTTTGGTCCTGTGAAATCCGGTGGTTTTTTACTGAAGCCGAAGGTTGGCTTAGTAGGATTGAACTAAAGTCACCCTTTTTTACACTATTCGGTCATGTTAAAAATTTGTTTGTTCATGAAATAAACGACCTAAATAGATCAAAATTGTTATTTGAACAACTATCTTCATTATATTCAATGAATATTTTACATTCTGCTGGTGCTCATAGAAATTTTGGTTGCTGAAATCATACGTTGGCTTACTGCAGTGGCTTACTGGGTCTCATACAACAGTGTCATCCGGTTTTCTTTACATATAATGCTTTAAATAAGTCAATATATTCATTTCACAATTATTTTTGTCAATATAAATAAATTGCTTTTGTCTGGTAAAATACAGTGGCCAAGTAAAGCAGTATGTTGGCTTAATCGGATTTTTTTTTCATATATAAAATACTATGAGATCAATCAACCAATCAATCAACCAACCATGCATTAAATCAACTAATCAACCAACCAATCAATGAACCATATTTGAAAAATATTTGCAAGGCTTGTTCAAACTCGAACTAACACTTAACTGTACAGATCTACAAACAATTTCGAGATTTTAGTAAAGAAAGAAAAACACAAAAGTTGCTTTTATTAAATCAAGAAATATCCAAAAATTATATAACCAAATTAAAAAAACTAGAAACCAGTCAACATTTAATAAATAATTAAATAAATAAGTAGACATTATTAAAAAGATTGTTCAAAAAGGTAAAATTTAAGGCGACGACGAGAATAAAATGTAGTTTGTTTTGTTGGTGTGGGGCTGTGAAGCGAAAACAAACACATCACAAAAAACTAGTAAAAAGTCGCAAGAATAGTAGTCAGTCACCTACCTATAATTAAATTACTCTCAGGGCCCTAGCTTACTTATAATCATTAACTCAACTCACCTACCTACAAATATGTTTTTCTACATTTTTGGAATTTTACATGTTTTAGGTATTTTATTTTACATATTTCAGCGTTTTTATTTTACTTGAAACTTTTTAACTAATGTTAAGCCCTAGCCTACCTACGATTGTTTAACTCATCTCAATCCCTAACCTACCTACGAATTAAATTAAGTCTAGTAAAGAAAATAGAAAGTTGAAGAAAAACATAACAACAACGACACCGAATGAATGGATGTTGTGTATGTGTGTGTTTTATTGATGTGTGTGTGTAAATGTGCGGGCGTGTACTCTCCAAAACCTTCTTCACTCACTACGGACGAACCTCCATTGCTCCGACCATCATCTGACACGCATCGATGGAATGAATTTGACCGGATACTAAAAATAAATTGAAAAAAAAAATTTATTCACTAAAATAAAAAACAAGCAATTGGAAAAAATAGGCAACTTATCTTTTTGAGATAACACTCAATCTTTGTTCAAATTCGATTACTTTCAAAGGTACAATGAGACAAAAACAAATTTACCTTTAACATTATCTTCGATTTGTCATCGGAATGATCATCATGAGACTACCATCTGAAACGTGCTGACGCCCACCACAGCCCACCTCTCATCATTCTGTAGACAAGTTTTTATTAATTAGCGAAGTAGTAAATCAAGAAACAAAGGAACGAACGAATAAATGATTAACTGGATGATTGAACGATTGGTTGAATGAATAAATTATCTAATTAATTAATCAACCAATGATTTAAAGAATGAATCAATGAATAAATTAACTGAGGAATAATTTGAAAGATAGTGATAAAATGAATAATTGAATGAGAAAAATAAAAAAAAGAAACTAAATCATACTTCAAAACCCGTCGTTGTTGTTATCTTCGAATTGTCATCGCAACGATCATCATGAGACCTCCATCTGAAACGTGCTGATGCCCACCACAGCCCACCTCTCATCATTCTGTAGACATTTTTTTAATAGCGTATTAGTAAATCAAAGAACAAAGGAACGATCGAATAAATGATTAACTGAATGATTAAATAATTGGTTGAATGAATGAGTGAATTAATGAATGAATTAATAAATCAATGATTCAATTAATGAATAGAATGAATTAACGAATCAATTAATAGAAGAATAATTTAAAAGGTTGAGTGATAAAATGAACGAATGAGAAAAATAAAAAACGAAACTAAACCTTACTTCAAAAATCGTCGTTACTGTACTTTCCATTGCACCGACCACCACCATCTGGTCGGCACACAAAATACCATCCGAACTTCAGAGTGTCAGTCGAACAGCCAACGAGCTGATTCTTCCTACACCACCATCATCATATGTAAATCATCATGAGACCACCATCTAAAACGTGCTGACTCCCACCACTGCTCACCTCTCATCATTCTGTAAACAAAATTTTTTTATTTGCTTAGTAGTAAATCAAGGAACAAGGAACGAACGAATAAATGATGAATTAAATGATTTAAAGAATGAATAGAATGAATCAATTAGTGGAGGAATAATTTAAAAGATAGTGATAAAATGAATGAGAAAAATAAAAAAAAACTAAGCCATACTTCAAAAATCGTCGTTGTTGTTTTCTTCAAATTGTCATCGGAACGATCATCATGAGACCATCATGTGAAACGTGCTGACGCCCACCACAGCCCACCTCTCATCATTCTGTAAAAAGTTATTTTTATTAGCTTAGTAGTAAATCAAGGAACAAAGGAACGAACGAATAAATGATGAACTGAATGATTAAATAATTAGTTAAAAGAATGAATGAATGAATGAATGAATGAATGAATGAATGAATGAATGAATGAATGAATGAATGAATGAATGAATGAATGAATGAATGAATGAATGAATGAATGAATAGAACGAATTAACGTCAATTAATGGAAGAATAATTTGAAAGATTGAGGACAAAATGAATGAATGAGAAAAATAAAAAAAACGAAACTAAACCTTACTTCAAAAATCGTCGTTACTTCAATCCATTGCACCGACCACCACATTCAGATCGGCACACAAGATTTCATCCGAACTACTGAGCGTCAGTCGAACAGCCAACGCGCTGATTCTTCCTACACCACCATCATACGTAAATCATCATGAGACCACCATCTGAAACGTGCTGACTCCCACCACTGCCCACCTCTCATCATTCTGTAGACAATTTTTTTATTAGCGTAGTAGTAAATGAATGTTAGAATCTTAGAAGCAAAAAATTATAAAATGGAAATAATGGCAAATAAATAATAACTGAAAATAATAAAGAGATTAAAATGTAAAAAAAAAACTTACCGTCGTCCATTCGACAAAGGCAGAATGTTGAATGCAGTCCGGTTCCTACGTCGTCCTCCAAAATTGGTGCCAGTCCTCCTCGAGATTGTTGAGACACAGCCCGTGGAATGGAGAAAGAGAAAATTCTCATCAGAAAGCTTAGCGGTGCCTGCATCTCAAATTGCTTAATAAAAATAATCCTATCTACCTATTCAATTACCTTAACTAATCTATATTAAATTGTTAATGGTACGATAGTCAAAAGTCCCCCTTCATTCTCCCTCCTTTGCACAGAGGTTCACCGACAGCCAGGGCACCGGATAGTAAACCATTGCCGTGCGGATAGTAGACTACTGCTGTGCGGATAGTAAACCATTTGCCGTCCGGAAGCCGTGCGGGTAGTAGACTATGGCCATGCCGCTTAGTAAATCATTACCGTGCAGATAGTAAACCATTGCCGTCCGGATAGTAAACCATTGCCGGTTCACCACAGGCCACCAAGGCTTACCTCTGACAACGGACTTTGAAATTCAGAGTCTATCGGCTATCGTACCCTCAGCTTACCTAGTTATTACAATTAAGCCCTAGCTTACCTAAAATTACAAAACTCAAGAGCCCAATTCATTGGCCTTTCGGCACCCACCCCACCACCTACGTAATGCCTTGGGCTCCAACTTAGTAATAATAATATAAAACTTAAACCCTAAATCTATTAATGAGTATGTGTTACAACGTAGCCTTAACTTACCTATTCATTACATTATGGCCTTAACTTACCTAAAATTAAAAAAACTCAAGAGCCCAATTCATTGGCCTTTCGGCACCCACCCCACCACCTACGTAATGCCTTGGGTTCCGACATAATAATAATAATATAAAACTTATAATTAACCTACCTATCGATACACATACAGCGTTTTAATTTACATTACAAGATTGTTCCTAGAATTACATTATTGCCCTTAACTACCTATGAAATTAAATTACTCTCAACCTTAGTAATAATAAATTAGAATGTGTATTGAAAATAAAATTACGCTCAAATACTAATATATGTGTTTATGTATGTGTTTGTGTGTGTGTGTGTGTGTGTAATTCGCTAATGCGTGTAATGTAGATGCAAGAAAAAATAGAAGCGATAAACTTACGCGCCTACCTATTCAACTACATTAGTGTTGGATGCTTCCTATCTATCCTACCTACAATTAAAATTATGCCTATCTAACCTACCTAAATAGCTACTTAATGTAATTGTGTGTGTGTGTGTGTGTGCGAGTAAGCATTCTTACTTATTTTTAAATTACAGAGAAAAAAGAGTAAAACGTATCCCAGCCAGGAGTGTATTCTTTGCCTCCGAATGAATGAACGTAGCCTGACATCTTCCATGATGAACTCCTCTGGAAGCTTCAGCCTGAATGAAATGAAAAAATCTTATTTATTTAATTAATTTAAATGAAAATAGAGAAACGAGCCGCGGTGAAACACGCTAGCCGGAAAAGCCAGCCAATTGGCAAAAAGAGAAACCGCAAAGAAACCGTAAAACGAACCCCAGCCAGGCGTGCATTCTTTGACACTGAATAAACGAACGTAGCGTGACATCACAACCATTCTGATCTTCCACGATGAACTCCTCCGGAAGCTTCAACCTGAATGAATGAACCTGAAAGAACCTAAATGAATGAACAAATCTTATTTATTTAATTAATTTAAATGAAAATAGAGAAACGCAAAGAAGCCGACCGGTCGGCAAAGAAAAGAACCTCACAGAAAGGTATCTATATAGGATTTATACTCTATATAACTCTATATAACTCTATATAACTCTATATAACTCTATATAACTCTATATAACTCTATATAACTCTATATAACTCTATATAACTCTATATAACTCTATATAACTCTATATAACTCTATATAACTCTATATAACTCTATATAACTCTATATAACTCTATATAACTCTATATAACTCTATATAACTCTATATAACTCTATATAACTCTATATAACTCTATATAACTCTATATAACTCTATATAACTCTATATAACTCTATATAACTCTATATAACTCTATATAACTCTATATAACTCTATATAACTCTATATAACTCTATATAACTCTATATAACTCTATATAACTCTATATAACTCTATATAACTCTATATAACTCTATATAACCATACATACCACCACATTCAATCAATAAAAATTCCACTAAAACCAGGAACCACCGCGTACCTGTTATATGTATGATGTCAAACAAATAAAAAAAACAAAGCAAAAAACACACCACCAAGTAGAGTAAAAAAAATAGAAGTCCCTAACCTACCTATGTAACTAAATTACCTTATGCCCTAGCCTACCTATATAATAAATTAATTTTCACCTCACCTACCTATGTTTTCTTAACTTAACTTAAGACTCATGAAGAAAGAGAAAAAGGAGTAAAACAGAACATAAAATACTACCACACAAACAAACATGATGTATGTATGTATGTATGTATGAGCAACCGCTAAAGAACCCACTTAAAATATAAAAAAAATACAACATACAATCACACAAACCACAGGCATGCAAACTCTATATAACTCTATATAATAAAATAAATAAAAATAAAAAAATAAAATAAATGAGATCAGGCAGACTGCTTCATGCGAGGCAGAATGCCTGATCCGATTTTCACGTTTTCTCAGCTCCTATTTATACTCGTTTCAACCATATATTTTCACCATTTCAATCATTCACATCAGTAAAAAACTTATTTAATGTATGTACTACAGTATTATACAGTCTTAACCACAATGCCAACATTACTAAATTGACGTCATCGAACGAACGCCTTCGAAATTTTCTGATTGGCTGGTTGAATCTGCTATATTGCTTTTTATATAAAACAACATATAATCTTATTAATTATTTGTATACATGGATTCTAGTTACTTTATATATATATATATATATATATATATATATATATATATATATATATATATATATATTCATTATAATTGCAACAGTAATCAATGCTACATATGTACGCCGCAGTTCAAAATTTTCGGGGAGAATTCAAAATAGTTTGAGATCACACCTTGCTTAACATCCGATTCAAAGCCGGGTCGAGCTAAGCTGAGCCATTATGCATAGATTTATAAGCGCTTTATAATAAAATTATGCTCGCTTGATATATATAGTATATAAATTCCTTATAAACGCAATAGTCGTAATCAGTGCTACATATTTGCGCAAATTTTTCTGGGAGAATTCCAAATAGTCTAAGACCACACCTTGCTTAACATCCAATTCCAAGCTGAGCCAATATGCATAGAGTTATAAGCGCTTTTAAATTAAAATTTTGCTCGCTTTATATAGACTATATAGTATATAAATTCATTATAAACGCAACAGTAATCAGTGCTACATATGTGCGCACGCAGTTCAAATTTATAATATATTATAAATTTTATTTGATGTTTTTTAATTAGTCAGGTCACAATCATCATCATCATCGATATCGCAATGAAATCAAATTGAGAATTTTTTATATTAAAAAAAAGTATCTTTATTTATTTTATGATACTATTTTGTTCAATAAGATACTGTTATACATATAATAGATATACATATAACTAGAATAAATATAACGGCCTTCGCTCACTTTCAACGGTTGAACAAGGAGCTTACTTCTGGAGGGGAGATGGAGGGTGAGGTTCGAGTCAAAAGTTACGATAGTATATTTACTAATTACGGAATATTGCTTTTATTTAAAATGTTAAAATTTTATTTTTTTAAATTGTTATTCAATATGGTAATTAATTACTTTTATTTGGTATAAATTTAAACAAATGAAATCGACATTACCGAAAATAATTAAAAGTTGCAAAAATTGATATTCTTTGCATATCCCTGCTTCAACCCATAAGAAAGTGTTGTTTAATGGTAAATAGGCCTCCCCTATTCCAATTATATGATCTATTTAATTTGAAATTGCACGTGTTTACCTTTTTTTAAAATTACAAAAAGCTCTTTCGAGATAAATAAATAAAATAGGTGGAGAATGAGTTTCTCTAATTATAAATTAGACGTCGAATATGGCGACACGGTTATAATTTACATAGGTTACGACAACATGCTTCAGTTTGAAGTCATGAAAGGTAAAATGCATCAGACGAAGTACGGTGCGGTAAAGCACGATGATCTGGTAGGACAGTCGTACGGCAAAAAGCTATTACTCTCCAGAGGATTCGTCTACCTACTCCATCCGACGCCTGAACTGTGGACTGTAACGTTGAAGCACCGGACACAGATATTGTACAGCACTGATATCAGTCTGATCGTCTACAACCTAGATCTGAAGCCTGGCTCTGTCGTCGTTGAATCGGGTATTTTTTTATATTTTATTTATTTTTTATACTTTACTTATTAGAGTTTGTGATATTGTTATATATGTAGTTCAAATACCTGGTGAATTTATTATAGTTATTTATTATATACTATTTATTTGCTCTAACACTTAATTAAATTCATGTGTGAGTTTGTTGAAGGTAAACATTTTAATGATTTTTGGTTCATGAAATCATGATCAATGTGATAAGTCTGTTTTATCATCAACCATCCATAGGCACTGGTAGTGGATCATTATCCCACTCCATCCTTCGAACAATCACACCTGGAGGCTGCCTTCACACATTTGATTTCCACGAATTACGTTCAGAAATTGCAACTAAAGAATTCAAAAGTCATGGCTACGACTCAAAAAACGTGGTTTGCAAGCACAGAGATGTTTGTAGAGATGGATTCGATCTTGAATCAGTAGCTAATGCTGTTTTCCTCGACCTTCCTAAACCTTGGCTGGCCGTTCCTTTCGCTAAACAGTCACTCATTCCAGGTTTGCTAGTGGGTCAAAAATAATGTTCAAGTCTATTTTACTTCACAATCATGATAATAAATTTCTAAGATGTCTTCGTTGATTTATTTTTAATAAATTTATCATTTGAATATTTGGCACCCTCGTCACAATACAGCTTACCATTAAACTGCCCATAACAATGGACAAACACAGCAAACAAAATCATTCAAACGATGAAAGAATGATACACTTCTTCAAGCCATTTAATTGAGCCATTCATTTGCAAGCTTTTAAATCAAACACATTTTATCCTTTTCTCTTAATTCAGGTGGTCGCATATGCTCTTTTTCACCGTGCATCGAGCAGGTTCAGAAGACGTGCACTGCCCTGGCCGCCAATGGATTCGTAGCCATTGAAACTTGCGAATGTTTGAACTGCCCACTTGAAGTGCGCACCATGAGTCTGCCCATCCCTGATTTGGGATTCAGCATGGTGGGTCATGCCAGTGAATCAAATAAAAGTCTTCAAGTTCTTTCCACTACTACTATTACTACTACTACTGGTGCTGTTGTTGCTACAGATGATACTACAGCTGGTACTGATGTTGAGATAATGAACAAAAGTTGTCCTGTCAGTATTAATGATGACGATGATAATAATAATGTTGGTGATAGCAATATTGATTCATCAGGTAGAGAATGTAATGAAGATAACAGCAATGAAATGCAGGTCGATAATGAAGCAAAAGTAGGAGAACACCACAACAGAGCTGCTCTTACGGCTAATGTTTCTACTACTGCTGCTACTACCGCTACCATCAACTATAATAATAACAATGAAAGTCCCATTATTATTTCTGACTATTACGTACATTCGCCACCTATTGGTCTTATAACGTTAGATGAAACTACCAGGAAGAACAAACAACGACCACAAACTCACCAAAGAAAGTTAAAACATTTCAAGAGTGATAAAAGGGAAGAATTATTTTCAGACAGCAAAGACATTAAATTGAATTCATCAAGTTATCATGCTACTCTTCAGCAGCATGGCGCCAAACAAATCACGCATAATGACCATCTAAAAATGAACTTAACATTTAAATCTTGCATGCCCTCATTAAGTAGGACAGGTCATACTGGCTATCTGACCTTTGCCACTTTGTACCCTTGTTGAAAAGTTTTTTGTTTTTGTTTGTTCATCCTAAATGCTTGTCTCTTCATTTCTCTACCGCTCTGTTTGTCTTTGAATTTTGAACGACTGTATGCGACATTCATTTCTGTAAATTATGTTATGTGTATTTAGTTTTTTTTTATTTCAAATTTTATACAATTTTCGGTTTAAAATAAATGATTGAATTTAGATCACCAAGAACTTGACTAGTTTAGTCTACCTTGACTAGGATGAAATGAATGATCGTATCTATTAGATTAGCATATATATTTCAATCGACTAAGACGTCATATTAACTCAAAAAAATTTGAAAAAAGAGAAGCTTGAGATTCGAATCATCCACATATGGAAAAGTATTTCACATCTCATATTACAGTCACATTAATAAAGAGATTTTTTGGTCACACTTTGTTTTTAATCGTTTAACAATTTGAAACAACTCGGAAGTATAAAACATTCTTTTATTATTGCAATAAATTTAGTAAATGCAAATTAAATTAGGGAAACGTTAACACATTAATATGGTGAGATGCATGCAATCAACAGCGGGTAATAAATAAATTGATGAGAGATGATGCTTAATTTTGTAGATTTTAAATTTAGATCATAATTTAAAATATGTAGTTTGGATCAAATAAAATTGTTGAATATCTCAAATGTCGGTGTCAATAATGTAGCACTCATGAATATGCAGTGCTGCACACCAGACCAGCAATCAACCAGGCATCCAATCATTCAATGAATACGTACAACGTCACATGTTTGGAATAGTAAGGAAGGGATGAAAAAGCGAAAGAATAAATGAATGAAGAAATGGATGAATAAAATAGAACGAAAGAACAAATAAACGAAAAGGATTATTGATTGAAGTTCTCTTAAGAAGTTGCTGGCACTGAAACGTATTACTGTATATAAAATACAAACAAACCATGATAAACAGTATAACGAAATGTTTTAAAACCGTGAGTCATCTAAATCGAAATGTGCCTTGCGGAAAAAGCTCATGAAATTGTTTACGAGCTCGAAACTACAGATTTATCATTTTTTTATTTTTTTTTTATTTTGAAGAATTTATACATAGCGCAAATTTAAAAAGTTGCTAAATAATTCGATCTAATCGTACAGCACAGCCAATGAAAAAATAATTAATTAACACTCTAATTAATTAATAATTAATTAATTAGTGAATTAATTAAATTTGCCAGCATTTGATTATCTGCAATAACAACACCTGAAATTATACCCAAGATCTGATGAAATCGTGCATTGCAATTTTACACACACACACACACACACACACACACAAAACGTACGAATAATAAAGATAATATATATAAACGAATTTGGCACAAAAGATGTGCACAGCCGAAATAAGCAAACATGGCGTGTCTACTGTTTTAGCAACTAAATCATACATACACAAACAATCTTCATTTTATTGATGAATGATACAATTGATATATATTGAAAATTTCGTTAATGTGTGTGTGTGCGTATGTGTGTATGTACGTGTATGTGTGCGTGCATGTGTGTGTACGTGTATGTGTTTGTACGTGTGTGTGTAGGTGTTTCTTTGCGAGATACACCCTAAATAGTGAATAATCGTAAAAAAACGAGTACAAGTAATATTAAAATTATTATTATTATTACTATTAGTTGAATTATTTTATCAATAAACTGGCCAAAATAAATTATCGAAAAAATTTGTATAAAAAAAATTATTTAGAATAGAAATAAATAGCTTTCAATGCAGAGTTTGGGGTCAAACAATCAATCACCCAATCAATCAATCAACAACAAAAACGAAACAAAACATCTACATGCAAAAAACAAACCACAAAAAAATATAAACAAAGAATTTTTGTTGCAAGCTGTTTGTTTGTTAGTTTGTTAGCGAATCAATCATCACTTGATCAACCAACCAATCAATCAACCAATCAACCCATCAATCAATCAATCAATTAGTTTCTTTTCTTGTCAGTTGTCATGGCACCTTTCGCGGCGTTGATGGCCAGGTTTGTGACGCTCTCAGCAGGCACTTTTTTCATTGCATGCTGTTCGTTGAAATGAGTGAGTTAGTGAGTGTTAGTGAGTGAATGAGTGGTGAGTGAGTGAGTGAGTGAGTGAGTAGGCGAGTGAGTAAATGAGCTAATGAATAAGTAAGTAGATTAGATGAATTAGTGTTGAATGAGTGATGAATGAATGAATGAATGAATGAATGAATGAATGAATGAATGACAAACTGAAAACGAACGCGAACGAAACACAAACAAGCAAACGCAACTAACTTCACAAACGAACTTGGACCCAGCATCGAGGTACTCACCGACCACCCTAAACTGACCTGTGTATCGAGAGTAGGACCAGGCAACCAATAGCAGAACTGCCAACCCCAACCCCATGTTGAATAAGCGCACGATTGACTCCGCCCCCAACAAACCAAAGACACCGGATAATATGTAGACCACGACCGCCAACAAGACCAAAACTAATGGCGTCTGAAGGGCTGACGCTACGTTCTTGGCCTGTATGGTTGTTCAGTTGAATGTGTTACTGTATCAATCAATCAATTAATCAATCAATCAATCAATTAATCAATCAATTATCAATCAATCAATCAATCAGTCAGTCAATCAATCAATCGAAGCAATAAGCATCCACCTCATTATTCTTGAGGTAAGCATCGTACATTTCGAGCAGATCCTTCTCAAGCCGCTTCTCGTACACTGCACAGAAGTCCGCACCTATTGGTTGAAATTTATCACCGTCGTTATCATTCCCATTACAATAATAATAATTATTGTTATTATTATCATTATTATCATCATAACTATTTTTATTAAAAGGTTAAAGGTCAATTTCTCTCGTGCACTTGCTTCAGGGACTAGGGCTATTATTATTATCATTATGATTATTATGATTATTATTATTATGCCCCTCCCCCCAGTCGAGTCGAACCTCCCATCTTGCGGGTGTCCTTGAACATCTTGATGGCCGCGAAGAACCACCTCTCATGCTCCTGCTTCAGCTGCTCCATCTTCATGTACTGCTTGTCGCCACCACATACCTGATGCCAATGGTAATAATAATAATAATAAACTAACAAAAACAAACAAATAAACGAACGAACAAAAAAAAAGAACAAATAAATGAACGAACAGATAAACGAACGAACGAACGAACGAACGCCTAACCTTCTCCATCTCTTTATTATAGAAATCTTTCGCAGTGGCAACGGCGGCTAAGTTGTTGGCTTCCGATGTGGCCTGTGGCGCAATTGATAATAATAATAATCATAATAATGATAATAATAATAATAACAATAATGTAAACTCTTTTATTACGGGAAACCAACGACATAAAGAGAAAAATGGATGGAGTTATTGTTGGAAATAATTAAATGCACATGAGAGCCTAACTGCCCGTTGTTGTTTGGAGTTTCTAGATTGAACTAAATTTGTAATAATAATAACAATAAAATAATAATAATAATATTAATAATAATAACAATAAAAATAAGTTCTCACCATCACTAACATCATCATCATCATCATCGTCATCGACTCCTCAACACAATAATGGAAGTAGTAATGAGTAATACAATAATGACAAATTAAAATAATTAGAATAATATTTCTAATTAATTATATAATTAAAATATTTATGGGCGCGTGTGTGCGTGCGTGTGGAAATGCCCCTTACCTCCAGCATGGACTTTGGTTCAGGAAGGTCTGAACCCTGGTACACCTTCAAATATGCCTGTGTGGTTGATCAATCAATCGATTGATCAATTGATTGATTGGATGATTAATTGATTGATTGATTGATATATATTTATTCATTGGTTGATCAATTGATTGATTAATTGATTGATAAATTAATCAATTTATGATGACGGGTCGTAAAAATACATACATATGGTGAGTGAGTGATTGATTAAATGAGTGATTGATTGACTGTAAAAATGGATGGAAGAACAAATGTACGTAATATAAGTAAGTGAATGAATAGTTTATTGATTGATCGGTTTATTGATTGATTTATTGATTGATACAAAATTTATTTTGCATGAATCATTCTTTAATTTTAACCAATAAAAATCTTTTAACAGCCAGCCAACCAACCAATCAACCAACCAGCCAGCCAGACAGCCAATCAGATAATCAACTAACAACCAACTAGCCAATCAAATAATTACATAAGTAATCACAGACCAAATCAATCAGCCTGCCAACCAACCAATCAACCAACCAGCCAACCAACGAACCAACAAACTAGCCAACCAACCTTGAAATATTCAATCAACTCCTTGCCAGTTATATCTGAGCCATTGATGTTCTTAATGACAACATGCTCAGATTGAAAGATGGATTCAGTGAAAGACTTCACCTGAACTTTGAACTCATCGTCGATATCTGGGTCGGGTCATTAAGGAGGTCAGTGTTGGTTTGGTTTTTGTCCGTCCATCTATGCATTTATCCATTCACTCATTCATTCATTCAGTCAGTCAGTCATACATTCATTTTTATCAATTCATCCATGTATGTATTAATACAAGTACCAATTCGTTATTCATTCATACAATCATTCACACATCCATTCACTCATTTCTTCAAATTCCATAAAACATTCATTCATTTACTCATTCATTTGCTCATTTATTTATTTATTCATTCATTCACTCATTCATTTATTCATTCATTCATTCACTCACTCATTCATTTATTCATTCATTTATTCATTCATTCACTCGTTCATTCATCCATTTGCAAATTCAACTAACCTGATAACTTTCCAATGAAATCTCTCTCAGTTGCAACTTTGAGGCCGGGGTGAGGCATTAGGTAACAGGTGATTACCTGCAAGTGTGTGTGCGTGTGTGTTTGTGTCTAACCAACCAATCAACCAATCACCCAACCAACCAATAACCAACCAACCAAACAACCAACCAACCAACCAACAAACCAACCAACCAGCCAACCAACCTTGAAGCATTCCTGAAGATGGCGACGAAGATTCTGAAGTTCGTTATGCTGCTTCGGATTGATCTGTTTCAATGTAAAAATATTATCACCATCATTACCATGGCCGCTATAATTATTATCATTGTTATAATTATTTGTTATCATTGTTATTATTGTTAATATTATCATAATAATATTAATAACAATTATTATTATTATTATTATTATTACCATTAATCTCTTGGCCAGTATCTCGGATCCTCCCTTAGCTCCATAGGGGTGTTGGTAGGGGTACTGCCAATCACGGACCAGGAAATGCAGAGTCTATAATAATAATAATTAATAATAATAATAAACAATAATAATTAATATTAATAATAATTAATCAATCAATTAAATCCATTAATCAATTAAACCAGCCAACCAGCAAACCTGGAATGGTTTGTCCTCGTAAGTCTGCAGAGCCAACCTTCCGTATTCAGTGAAGAGCTGTTTGAGTTTGTGGAGCAGGAAAACAAAATGGTTATACGTGTGCATGTGTGTGTGCGTGTTTGTGTGTGTGCGCGCGCGTGTTTGTGTGTGTGTGTGTGTGTGCAATGCTACTAATATTTTTATAACACTGTAACCTTATAATAGCAGAATTTTTTTTCCTTACATTCCATAATTGACAGTCTGAATGTAATCACTCAACTAGCTAACTAACGCCATCAACCAGCCAATGAACGCCATTCAACTAATCACCGCACGCTCACACACACATACACACAGACAGACAAACCTCTAAATGTTGCAAATCATCTTCCTGTATATTTCCAGTGATGTTGAAGACCTGAACCGAACTCAGCATGGTGCTCAGAGCGAACACAGTAGCGCAATCCTTCACAGTTGATTGACTATCGAATGCCCCCTGCGTGTCCATCAGCAACACACAAACCTACCAACATGTGTGTGTATGTGTCTGTGTGTGTGCATGTAAGAATATGTGTTTGTGTGTTTGAGTGTGCGAGAATATGTGTGTGTGTCAAAAAAATGTGTGTGTCTGTGAGTAAGTGTATGTGTGTGGGCATGTGAATTTGTGTATAATGTCAGCACTCATGCATATTCTAATTCTTTCTTTTGACTATGAATTATGAATTAATTGACTTATTTATCAACTATGTTGGATAGAAAATATTGGAGATTGCAACAGGCTTTCTTACACAACACACTATAAAAATGATAAGGATCCCCTACACAAGGCATACAATACACCTGAAAAATTTACAGATATGAACTTCCTAGAGCTAAAAATTTTGATACAACAGAATTGTCCCATGAATTTACATATAATAAAATATGTAATCTTATGACAAATTATGGAAAATATTTTTCTTCAAAAAAATTTTTTTTCTTAAACAACATTTTTCTTTAACTATACCATTGAACCAAATTAATTTAACGTAACTAGAAACAGCAGCAACAACAAAAAACCTCGTCCCCCTTGTTGTTCCTAATGATGTAGGGCTCACTCCAGATGAGAATCCCCGATGTCAACCTCTCGGAACCACCCCGCCATTGAAATCCAATCAGCGGGTCATTTGGCTCACCCATCCAGTTTTCCTTGCCCTTAAACAAATGGATGCCATATTAATTTTAGTTTGTTTGTTTGATAAATTCAATTTTATATAAACTTTGGCTTTGTTTGTTTAATTTACTTTTATATAAAATTTCACATAGAAATACATATTCATATAAAATTTTTTTATATATTTATAAACTAGTCTTACATGCTAAAAATGAACACCAATCACAGTTATTAAGCTTGCATCTATTAAGAAATAACAAACAAAATGCAAACAGTGGTAACGTTTCACTCATTAAAGTAGGCTCATTCACTTCCTGGTGTGACTGATGTTTTATAGGTCTAGAACAAGAAAACAAAGTAAAAAAAATGAAGTAGAACTAGAAAGTAAGCAAACAACGTACATCCGAGTTGAGATATCTGAGGAAGAAGTTTAGCAAAAACGATTTTCCTTTTCGATATGCTCCGGCAACTGAAACGACCATGACCTTGCGATTTCTAATGCGGGGATCAAGCAAAATTTCGGCCAGAGCTTTTTCATCTAATGTAAACGTGTGGTCATCTTCAGCTACGACAACTTGTATTCCCTTTCCTAATTATTTAATTAGTTAACAATTAATTAACATTGGTTGTATCAAATTTGCTTTCTAACTTTCATTTTTGTTGTTTAACTAATTAACAGTATTAATTAATATTAAGTATTCTGTTTTTATAGACTTACATTGGTGAAAGTGGTCTATCTAATTTACATTTAACTTTCATTTCTGTTGTTTAACTAATCAACAATTACATAAATTCTATTTGTATTGTACAGTAATTAAGGTGGCCTTCACAAGATTATTTTATCTTTTATCATGTTAAAATTATTGAATTATTTATGTGGTCTCCTGAAATCAGCCAGAATAAAAAGTATTCATTCGGTTCATACGTTAATATGGCGTCCCATTCTTTCATATGAATTCTTTCATAAGTATGAAATAGTATTTTTTCTAATTTGCTTTAAAAGTTAATTAAAGACTTTAATTTAAAAAGTGAAATTGAAAAATTTTGAGAAGTCAGTTTTGACTTTTGAGTTCCGGTTTGTTCATTGTCAAGCATTGAAGAGCCAAATTTTTATAAAAGAGAGAAGTATTTTTTTACTATAAATAATCACTTAAAAATATTTATGTAAAATTTATATGAAATGAAAAAAATAAAAAACGAAAATCAATTGCACCTTTAACACGGTCCGCCATTTTTCTTGTTTATTTATTATTTACTCAACAGTGATGTGAACTTAAATCAAGCGATGGACCAGATGACAATTTTTTTTGTCAGCTGGTTTTGACATTTTTTTTGTCATATATATATATATATATATATATATATATATATATATATAACTACATAATTAGAAATTACTCACAAAATTTAATACAACTGCTATATTTTTTTATAATTGTATATTTTTTTTATTAAAATGAAAACATTGTATAACGATATGAAAATCGTTAGTACTTAGTAGCAAAGAAACAAGCGCATTGAAAAATTTTCATGGAATATAAGTGCATGCAAGACAACGTTATATAATGCACGTTAAAACGTGAGCCCGGTTAGCTCAGTCGGTAGAGCATCAGACTTTTAAGAGCTGAGTTCCTCAAGTCATCTGAGGGTCATGGGTTCGAGTCCCATATCGGGCGCATTGTTTTTTGCTAATTTTTACAAAAATATTTTTAAGATGGAGACACATCTTTTAACTCACAACTGTGCAAAACATTCAAAATCATAATTTTATTTTGTAATTAATTTTACAATTTCACATTCATATAAAACGAATGATCTGTTACATGCATTGATTGTATATTATCCGGACAACCATCTTAATAATTAAATTTTTAAGAGATAATTTCATATATTTCATTTTATTAGAGGATAGAAATGTTTGTAAATGTATTACAATCTGGATGGAGTTAGCGATATTACTTCATCACCGTCTGTTCAATTCTTGCTTCATGGCTGAAAATTTCAATTAAAATACAAATGTTTATAACATATATTTAAATTGAAAATTACTGCAATGAGTATGTAATATGGAAGAATCAGATGAGTGGTGCAATTAAGTATCTCACCGCTTATGAGATCTTCTAGTTTGCTGAGCTTACTATTCATTTCAGACTTGAAAGAATTCAGTTCAAATTTCACATCTTGGACAGCTTGCATCAAAGTTTTCAAATCACCATAATCGCCATTTTCGTGAAGGGTGGTCAGAATAGGACCGACCTTGGGTGAGACGTATGATTGAATGCTGTTTGGCTGTTTCTTTAGTAGTTTGACGGTTGATGTGGGCGAGGAAGATGATGAGGAAGAAGAGAGGGTGTACGGTAGGGATGGTTGCTTCTTTACAAATTTACCATTTTCAATCGCAGGAGGAGGCGTTTGGGACTTGTTTGCTGCCAATCTGGTTTCTGTTTTGGGAGACGTTGTGACTGGAGATGGAAAAATATTTTCCTGAAAAAGGTAATATTTTTACTTTTTAAAACATAACATTAATAATAGGTAATAACAAAATAATATAAACACTGACGATCGATGATAAAGATAAATGATATTTTGCTATATAATTAGTAACTGCTTCTTGCCGTTGAAAAGATTAACAAAAATCGTAATTATAACAAAGCAACAAGAAAAAATAAGTGCGTAGATCGCACCGTAAACTTCGATAGACTAAAATGCATGCTATATTACGCCACGCTGTAGACATTATGAGCCCGGTTAGCTCAGTCGGTAGAGCATCAGACTTTTAAGAGCTGAGTTCCTCAAGACATCTGAGGGTCATGGGTTCGAGTCCCATATCGGGCGCAATATATTTTGCAAATTTGCACGCACGTTACTAACGTGCGTGCAATTTTTGCAAATTTGCACGCACGTTTGTAAAACAGTAATTCAAACTACACTTACAAAAAAAAAACTCAACCTCTTTGTAATCTCGACTGCCTCTGTTCTCATCAGCTACTTGTCTCCTTCTTTTCAACAGCTCTGCCATTTCACTAATCATGTCCATAGACCCGTCAGGAACGTTGTTGTGATTGCTGCTGCTGCTGCTGGTTGACGTACATCCTTCGCTGGCCGTGACGGTTTCGAGCCTCTTCAACTGGACGGTCGATAATGAGTCCAACAAACCGACACTCTGACTTCTTTGAGTTTTCATGGCAGGTACTTGGTTAACAGCTGGTTGGGTGAGCGGTGTAGGAGGGGGAGGCGGAGGGGGCGGTGCACTTCCGTTGAAATTTGGAGTTGAGAAGTCTGGAGGCAAGGAACTTGGCGGCGTTGGAAGTTGCGGAAAAGATGAGAATGTGTCTGGGGTGTTTTTTGTTGGTTTGAGTGCCTGCTTGTCAACTTCAAAAATAATGCCATTAAAAGGATAATAAGATTTGTCTTTAGTTGGATTGGAGAGCATGGATTCAGTTGAAGGACTGTTGATAGGAGGTGAAGGAGCAGTTAGTCTGTTACCCATCTTTGCAGTGTTGTTTGCTTTCGGTTGTTTCACGATGTTGTTACTTTTGGGAGGTTGAGGAATGCGTGGCTGGAGGACCTTGTTTTGATTTTGTTGTATCAGGTTGTTGGACGGTACGTTCGATTGAAAGTAGGTGGTAGTAGATTTGTTCAGCGTTCGTTGATGCTCTCGAAATTTAGCGAATGGCGACTGCGAATATGAACTTTCACTAGCAATATCAGGCTCGTTGTAAATGTGGTAGGTTTCTGAGGAGTTGAGAGGGACCGCAGGAAGAGGTCGAGCCAATTTGTCGGCCATATTTTTCCCGAATGTATTATTGAATACTTTATAATTACCGCTGTCAATATCGCGTGGTAGGGACACGGACGATTTTGGTTTAAGAAGTACATTAGATTCTGAAGAGGAAGATGAGGAAGACGGAGACATGTCCATTGAATTTTGCACGTGATTCGTAACTTTAATTGATTTCACCGAACAAGGCGAGTCAGGTTTTGGGCCGATGTAATTCTGAACGGTGCTCACAAAATGTTCGGCATCGTGTTCCGTCGAAAAGTTGAGTCCGTAGACGATTGAAGTTTTTACGTCACGCCACTCGAAGAATGTTTTAGCGGAATGTTTGCACTGGAGGCCTTCTCCCACCAGGCAATCCAGAATGATTTCCTGAATGAATTGAAGGAAATCAATTTTCATATCCAAGTCACTTATAAATGTTTATAATAATTTATAAAAATCATTTATATAACTTTGAGGAAAAAAAAACACAAATTTTCACATATTACGGTAAAACCTTGACCTGTGAAAACAATTTTTTTCATCAAATAAAAAAGAGAGCATACAAAAAAGACTAATTCATATTAACAGTTTTTATATTTTGTTTCCGGACGATAATTCTAACGGTTCGCAACTGATTCTGCTCACTGAAGATGTAAACGTTGCTCATACCTGCAGGTCAGATTTCGCATTTCAATCTTTAACACACAACTTACAAATTACATCATAAAAAAGAATCATTCACACACGCTGTAAAGGGTGACACCCGCCCAAGAAACAAAGAGAAGAACTGACCGACCTCTTACCTCCGAGTCCAGAGACGATCGACACCACTTCCTGCTGTGCAAGTCGTACACAAGTAGGATGACGTCAGCGATGGATGCCAGCAGGCGATCGCTTTTAGATGCATGTGGGTTTTATTAAATATTAAACAAATTATTTTTCAAGCATTGAATTCATTGTGTATTCTTATTATCATCTGTTCTGACATACCCTTAGAATGTAATGTTAATTTAAATTTTAAAGTTATTCGTCAAAAACCACCCAAAATCAATTTTCCGTGCCAAACGATAAATGGAAACAAAATTAATTAGCATTGAAATAAAAATTGAATTCATTTAATCAAAAGCATATACTTATAATCAAAAGTTAACGTACTTCCCAGGACTGGCCATGGCGAGAAAAGAAAAACAATTCCGTATCAATAAGAAAGAGATTGGAGGACTTTCCTGGCTGCTTGCTGGTCCTTATAAAGGACTAGAAAAAGGGTAAAAACGTCTTTTAAATTAAATTAACTCCGTATAAACAGAAGCCACATCAAAAACGTCTATACGTAGGTCTGCCTGCTCGCAACAAATGACAATAATAATAATAATAATATATGATACGTTATTCATCGTCTTGTCGAGACATTAATCTTATATATATCTCCTAATTATATGGCGCTATGTGGCAGTAATAATAATAATAATAACAACGAACTTCGCGAACACAATTAGACGTAAGAAGTTGAGTTAAATCATCAAAGAGTGAAGAGTTAAAGAATGAACAACAATGAATAAATCAATAAAACTTAACATTAACTAATAAAAATACACCTAACAATAGTAATAATAATAACAAAATTTTATTATCCATATCAAGAGTGACGATAACAATAATAATAATAAATAAAAAAGAATAATAATAATAGCAACCAAAAAAAAGTACAGCGTAATTTTAAACAGACAAGATAATTATTGCTTTAATATTCCTTTAATACGCAAGTATCCTGTTTCTATTATATTTCTTGAGAAAAAAATTCAGAACGTATATACAAACACACACACACACGAACACACACAAGTGCACACACACACACACACGAATACAAACACACACAAGTGAACACACACACACATCACAAACACACACACGCACACAACACACATGTTGTGTTTTTTGAAGATCTTATATATAGTTACACATATACGATTATTTGTATTGTTTTTTTGGTGCTGTATATAGAAATGGACAAATTAACACACGTACACACACTCACACATTTATATATATATATATATATATACATATATTTATATATATATATATATAATATTTATATATATAATATATATTGGGAAAAAAAACACAATTAAAAAAATGAAACTGAAAAACTATCTGTTCCGGCTCTTTGAATTGAATTTTTAAAAATAATGCGAAAGTGGTAGAAATTAATGCAGAAAATCCCAAAAATAAATTACTTAAAAATAGATTCAAAAAATGCAAATAAAACGAGATTAATATCCAGTCAACAAATACATGTTAATGAAATGAACAAACTAATTGCACGCGGGCAGTGTTGGTTGGGTAAGCAAACGATTAGTTAAGTACAAACACACACACACACACACACACACCCCACACACAGACACACTCACACCCCACACACAGACACACTCACACACACAAAAACCGGAAAAACACATGCTCACACAACCACACACAGACAATGACACAAACACAAATAAACGCACAAACAAACAAACAAATAATTGGTTTTAAGGGGATTTGAACCATGGATTCCAGTTTTTGGATATGAATGAGTTTAAGTTTCCAGATGAATTACGTTTGTAGAATCCCGCCTGGAACATCTGGAGGAGAACAAATACGTATAATTGCAATATAACGTTATAATTCATACAGACAGACAGACAGACAGACAGACAGACAGACACACACACACACACACACACACACACACACACACATTTGTTAATAACAAAGTATGAATTTCAAAATACAATTTAAATAAGAAAATAAACCATAAATCAATTGAATGGAAATGTTCCTTCTTTTTAATTTTCTATAATCATCATCCCCATCACCATCATCATCATCATCACAACTACAACACAATTATCTAAACATCAAACTAATCGTCGTTATCATCACCATCATAATCCTTATCATCACCACCAGCACCACCACTATTATAACATCATCATTATCGTCATCAGCATCGTCATGACCTTAGTAAACTGCAGAGGCATGTGTGTCATGGCCTCCCTATATACTGGATCACTTTCCAAGTTCTTTGGTGGAAAAAATAAATAGAAAACCAATCATTCCATTTATTTCAAGTTCCTTATATCAAATTTTTTTAAATTTTCCAGTTAATTAAATTTTCGATTGTGTTTGATTAAATGACTAAATGATCAGTTTGCTAGCTGACTAATCAATTAATTGTTTAATTGTATGATTTGGTTGATTGATTAGATGGTTGATTGATTAAGACGGCTGATTGATCAAGACGACTGATTGATAGATTTAGAATGATAGATGAATAGATCAATTGAATAACTAATCATTTGATTCAGAGAATTGATTGACTGATTAATTAATTAATTAATAATTATTTGACTGATTGACTAGAATATTGATTAATTGGTTGATTGATTGATTGGACAACTGACCTTCACTACTTCTTGCCATTTCTCTACAAAAGCTATTTTTTCCCTTTCAGTTTGTAGGTTCTAAAAAAATTTAAAAAGGAATTATAAATAAATATATAAATATGTGTGTGCGTGTATGACAAATGAAAGTAGTGGTGGCAAAAATTTGAAATAAATAGAGTAAAATAAATAAAACACATAATCAGAAAAATGTAAAATAACAGGTATATAATTATCGTTATTATCGTTATATCGTTAATTATTATTATTATTATTAACTATTTAATTAAAATTTTTATTATTATAAAATAATAAAAATAATAATAATACAAATAATTATAATAATAAAAATAAATATTTTAATTAAGGACAAGAGTAACATTGTATTGGTCGGTAAAAGCCTTGGCAAACTGAGTAAAGTCTTCGTCGGCTATTGTCTTATTGGCCATCTTCTTTCTTATCATCTTCATCATCCGGTCAAAATTATTATCATAAGTTTATATTAAAATAATTATAGACAAATTATACAAAATATTATTATAATTATACTTAATTATAACAGAATATCATATCGATAACTATAGTAAATGATAATGTTGATAAAATTATCAACATGTTGATAAAATAATAATGTTGATTAAATTACTAACAGTCAAAACTACTGTGTAATATTAATTGATATCAATAATAGAGCATTAATTTATTCATAATAATCATGAATATTCATCAGGTTATTATCATGAACGAGACTGGCCAATCGAAATCACGCAAATGTCCGTAACCCTATATAACTAACAGGCACTTGGTTCTTAAAGAAACTCCTATTGGCTGATGACAGCAACTGTTTGGGGGCTACCTCTTTGATCTGCCAATCGGTTTATTTCAGTTTTTTAGTCTTTAATTTACTGAGTGCTCATTCATTCATTCATTCATTTTCATTCATTTACTCATTCATTCATTTACTCATTCATTCATTAACTCATTCACTCATCTATCCATTCCTGAATTAAGAGTTTATTTATTTATTTGTCAATTTCAATTCTATCTTCAATAATTTCCAAGTGGCACAAACGCAACAGCGCCCGTAAGACAACGCCTCGCCACACCTTCAACATGATTATGCCAGACAGGTATATGCAGCAAATATTCAGGAAGGCCAGACCGAAACTGAGAAGTCCCAACGCGAACATATCCAAGGCTAGCTTGCAGGAGTATTGAAACTGATAAGCATTGTTCAACAATGGAACGCATTTCAGGGGCTGTTTGTATGTACGTGTGAGTGTCTGTGTGTGTGAGAGTGTGCGTATGCTTGTATAGTGTGTGTGTGTGTGTGTGTATGTGTGAAAGTACGAGTAAAGTTATCAAAAAATTGATCTTAAGATTTGTACATAACAGAGTAACAAACAAACAAACAGGAGAAGTTATTACAAGCATGCTACAAAAGACTCAACAACGTTATAAGATGTTCCAAAATTAGTTAGAATTTGCTCCTAGATTTCCAAACAAACATCAGAGAACAAACAAACCAATACATACACAAACACGTATACATACATCAACCCACAACCAATGAACACACACACACACACGCGCGCGCGCACGCACACACACACACAAACTTGTGCCACTGTAGAATTAGCATCACGTGCGGGAGATGCAATGAGCCACGAAAACGTATGCCCCCACAGTAAGCCCTCCAAATTTAATAATTATTTAAACCAATTCAATAGTCGATATAATTATTTTGAAATAATTAAATGAAATATCGTTTTTGTATATTAGTCATTAGTCATCATAAAGATCCCACATTTTTAAATACCACACACACACACACACACACACACACACACACACACACACACACACACACACACAGATCCCACATTTTTAAATACCACACACACACACACACACACACACACACACAAACACACTCACACAAACACACTCACACATGCATGCACACACACACGCACACACCACACACATTAGATTATGGTTCATTTCTGACATCTTATTACAAAAATTAGTAATACTGTTAAAGATAATATAATTACAATTACAAATAATAAATCTAGTTTTACTACCATTTTTACAAACGTGAACTGAATGAAGTTTTAAGAATAGTTAGGAAATTGTGAAATATAACAGCAAATAACAAAAACAACAACGACGACAACAACAAACAACAACAACAAACAAAAACGACGACAACAAACAACAACAGCACACATCAACAGAAACAGTAACAACGCCAAACATTACAGAATTGACGGTAGGAGGGAGAAGTGAGGCACTGATGGCCACCCCAACCATGGTGGATATGTTGCCACCCAGTAACGACAGACAGACTCCCATCCCTGATGCCAAAGCGATCAGAACACCTACGCCCAACGTGTGACCTAGCCCTCTTAGTTAGGAGGGTGTCGATAGATTAGTTAAGTCGAAAAACAGTTAACATCTGATAACCAACTGCCTGACAAATCATCATTCAACTATTGAATGATGAGTCGAATTCAAAAACTTCATTCCAACTAATAATCAGCCAACCAATCAACCAACCTAACCAGCCAACCAGCCGAACCAACCAACCAATCAGATCAATCAGCCAGCTAACCAATCAACAAGCCAACCAACCTGACAGACATCTCGGGGGTCGGCCAACTTGTGGCATGCCCCCACTTTGCCCCGTTTAAATTTATGACTGCCATCACAGTGCCTATCGTGAAACCTGTTAAATTAATTAATTAAGTATCAATCAATTGTAGAAAAATTATTATTTATTATTGTAGCCAATTAACTTAGATAGTCTATTGTTAACATCAACCAACCAACCGGCCAACCAACCGATCAATCAATCAATCAATCAACTAGCCATTATTCAATATTCAATAAACCGATATACAATAAACCGATCAATCAACCTACTAACCAACCAACCAGCCAACAAACCAGCCAGCCAGCCAACCAACTAACTAGCCAGTCAGTCAACCAACCAACTAACCAACCAACCATAAAACACACAAAGCAGTAAGCACACGAGCTCGTTTCTGACTCCCAACAGTATCAAATCCTTACTTCGTATCGTGCTGCCAAATGTAAATGCAAGAATCGGACCCTAACATCATAATAACAATAATAGCGATAATAATTATAGTGATAGCTATAATAATAATAATAATAACAATAATAATAATAATAATAATAACGAGAACATTCTTTTATTTTCATTTTAAAACGTACATTGTAATTATAGAGTTAAAGTAATAAAACTTATAATGTTAAGTATATAGATAATCTACAATGCTCGCCGTACACTTTAAATGGGCAGAAAGAGAAATAGAATCAGCATTAAATTATGTTCAAATCGTGTTTCTATCGCAGTAAATTGCGTAAGATGACGACACTACGGAATTAATTAAACTTCTATGAAAAGAGTCAGATCAAATAAAATTAATTAATGATAATTTAAAATATTAAAAAAAACCTAACATAACATAATCCTAATAATAATAATAATGATGATGATGATACCATCATGGGCGATATTAGCATACTGGCTACCAGGCAGACAGTGTTGTTGTCCAGCAATCCAAGCGTTGCTATTATACTAAAGATAAATAAACATGTACACAATAACCAAAATAATAATAATAAGAATGAATGAATGAATGAATAAATGAATGAATGAATGAATAAATGAATGAATGAATGTATATACTCAGGGACCTTGCAATACTGATTAGGACGAAGAAATCAAACGTGATCTTGGCATTCTTTTTTACACAGTTTATCACCTAATAAATATATTCTTCTAGATTATAATTGTTACTACAACAACAACAATAATAATAATTATTATTATAATTATTATTATTATATAAATTATCATCACCATCATCATTACAACCACCTCAGCAACTGTTATTCGGGCTTTGATTGAATTTATGAAGTCAATCTTCTCATCAACATCACTGACAAAATTTAAAAGAAAATAAAGGAGGAAAAATTTCAATCATTCAATCACACAACGACCATCCATCAGCCAGTAATCAATCAATCAATCAATCAATCAATCAATCAATCAATCAATCAATCAATCAATCAATCAATCAATCAATCAATCAATCGATCGATCGGTCGGTCAGTCAGTCAACCAACCAACCAATCAATCAACCAGCCGATCAACCAGCCAATCAACCAGCCAATCAACCAATCGATCAACCAATCACATAATCAATCAGTAATTGGTCAACCAAACAAAAGTTGAGAATAGATAAAATTGATAACTTTTTGCTGTCGTCAAATTTGTCTAGTTCAGTCCCTGACGTGTAAGAGACGTTTATCAAACTAAAAAAAATGAAATTTACTTTAGAAATACTGAATACTGTCAACCATTTACTACAAATATGAAATTTAATTGTCAATTTAACTGAAAAATAATAATACTAATTTGTGCTAAATCTTTTTAATTAGAAAATAATTTAAAGTTTTCACAAAAAAGAGATAAATTTCAAACTGAAGATTGACTAAAGGTAGATTAAGGAAGCCAATGTTTTCAAACACTTTCAATAATAAATCACATTCTTCTGATGACACTATGCAAGTAACCTGGTTACAAATATCAATCAATTCAATTAATCAGCCAGGTAACCAATTAATCAGTCAATCAATCAGTCAATCAATTAATCAATCAATTAATCAAATAATTAACGTCCCTGCAAGTTAATTTACTGACATTATTAATCTTTCCATTTAATTTTGACATGCCACAAAATCAGAAAATATGAAAATGATAATTAGTTTTTTTTATTTTATAACGAAGAGAAAAATGAAAATATAATTAATTTAAAAACTCATCTAACTTGCCATAGTTTAGAGTTTGTCGTCATCAACCATTTGTAATTCATTACACCAATGTCTGTTAAGATTCCTTCTATTAGCTTTTCAGGTTAAAGTAGCAAAATATTAGACAACTTTGATAAAAACAATTTACACATATTCATTTTCATTGAATAATTAAAAATAATAAATAAATCAATTTCTAAAAAATGATGAGCTGACTTGTGGCAAGGTGTATTCAAACTTGGGAGATTGAGATTTGATCAATGCTGCCATATCATCCAATGTCTTTCTTGTCTGGTGCAGTATCTGGCTACTTTCTGACCTCTGCAATATCTTCAATGATCCAACATCAAAGATGTTTTTATTTCAAATATTTAATTAATCATTTTTAATAGGAATTTTTATTTTATTATTTTTGGTTATTTTTATTAAGTTTATCTATTCATTTATTTATCATTTTTTTAATCCAGTTTTGAGTTTTTTAAACTATATTTATAGTTGTAAGCTGGAGAATATTGAATAAAAACTTACAATTGAAGACTTTAGCTCAGCAAGGTGGTCTTGCAACTCCTAATCAGAAAAAGTTTAAAATCTTTAATTGCATATCTTATAATTACTTTTAAGTTTAAAATATAGATACTACTTATTATAATTAAATCATATAATAAACAAACCAAAACAGCCTTTATGAAAAAAAAATATTTTTTGAAAATTCACTAATAGCTTAAATTACTACTACTAATGCCCACTAATTGTAAGTGTTATTAATTTTACAGCTTACTAACCAATCCAATACTAACTTTCTTATTTTTAAATCCTCAGTGTACAATCAAAAATACAATTTAATTTAATACAAACAATAGAATACCATACATACAAAAGTGCAATACAATCTATTCTACTGTACTAATAATTAAGACTTTTAACAGTAACACTAATAATTGCATGCAAGGAGTAATGACTAAAAAACCAATACTTACTAACCTCTAATAGTCTAATAGTATAATTATTATACTATAATATAATATATAATCTAATGCAACAAATACAGCCCAACAACCAAACAAACATTGTATCACATAACAAATAACATTATTATTCAATACGACAATGACCACATAGAAACATAAATCACTAATCACTAATGACTACACTAATGTAATGATTAATCAATTAAATAAATTTATTAATGCAATTAAAATTAATTAAGCAAGGATGACACCTGGTAATTTGATAAATAATCTATCTTTTTTTATTTTATATTTTATTGAAAATAATTAGAATGCCAAAGTACCGGCGGAATTGTTTGGTCGTCCTTCTCCCTGGTAACAATATTTTCCTTGATTTTTTCGAGATTATACCTGTTGGCCATATCAAACATCAGTTCAGCAACAGTTTCAAAGTGATGTTTGCCAGCAACTTCGTCGGGTAGTTTAACATCAACTGGGAAATAAATGACTATCAAATTTGTCATAACCATAAAAATAGTGGTACATTCATTCCCCAACTGAGTCACACGCTAATTATGACCAATTTAATATTAATTAAAAAAACGTTTTTTGAAATTTAGTCTAATTTAAAAAGCGCTCACAACATAGACATTTTAGGTGAAAAGTCGCGTAAAGTGGCATCATAAGACGATATGAGACAATATCATACTTGTATGTTGTTCGTACCAAATTTGTAAATTTGTGTGGAAAAGAAAATTTTTTTTCAAAATCCATCTGACTCAGATTTGGTCTAAGGTCTTCTTCAAGACATTTTAAAAAAATTTGTGTCCGTAGCCAGTTCTCGTAGGCCTTTACGGCAAATATTCAGTATTTCTACAAAATCATTGCATTTTAATTACAACTCATCGTATTTAATTCGGATTTTTTCAAAAACATATCAGTATACTTACATCAAGCACACTTGTAATGAGACGATTCAAATACGTTAGCCACAAAGGATTATTCGCGTCACGCACCTATCGTACGAGCAGTTGAAATTTGTCAACACAGCAATTGAACTAGTACGAACCTGTTTTAAAGGGCGTCAATGTTGCCCAACTTTCGACGAAGCTCGTGATGGAAACATTTTTATTAAGTAACCCCATCCGAAATTGTGCTATCACCGCACATATCCAACCTGCGACCACATCATATTTAAATCTCTTAACACTAACAGTTCGCAATCGCAAAAAAACATTGAGTTCGTAATTTTATTTCCATCAAAAACAATTTTTACATTATCTGTTGATAACCAATTCCACATAACCAAAAACAAACATTGAATCCATCAAATAACTTTGTCAAGCAAGTCACATTGTCAACACAACACTTTTACAATTGGCCACAGTTGGCAATCTTGATAGCTTCTTTGGTTTTTCCAGATTGTGAGCCATAACTTTCTACCTTTTTAATGACATCATATCCTTCAACTACTTTGCCAAAAACAACATGCTTGTTGTCCAACCTATAAAAATGGTTAGCACTTGAAATATAAATAGAACCGGACAAAAAAATATACAAACCATTCAGTCTTGGCAGTACAGATGAAAAATTGTGAGCCATTGGTATTTTTCCCAGCATTAGCCATGGACAGTATGCCTAAATTAATACAAATTAAACATAAAAAGAATGTTACACATAATAAAGTCATGTAAGTAAATTAAACAGAATGAATTTGTGATACAAAATAAAGTTAATTTAATATAATAAATTAAACAAAGAATGAATGTTAAACACAATAAAAATATTTATATTTCTTAATTTCTTTAATAATTACAAATTAAACACAAATTGAATGTTTAATTTAATAAAGAAAGTAGTTGAATCTTAAAACTGTCATAAGAATAAATAAGACTAAGCACTAAGAGTAACAACAACAATCAACACAACATAGCAATGCTCATACCAGGTTCAGTGTGCTTCAACTGGAAGTTCTCATCTTCAAATTTGTTACCATAAATACTTTTGCCACCAGTTCCATCACCTCTTGTGAAGTCCCCTCCCTGACACATGAAACCAGGAATGACACGATGGAATGTCGAATCCTTGTAACCAAATCCCTTCTCACCAGTACACAGGGCCCTGAAATTCTCTGTAGAATAATAGTTCAAACAAAAAAATGTTTCATTAGCGGTTAATTATGAGTGACATGTTTATTGGGGAAAGGTAGCCAGTGAAATCCGGTATTAAAACAGAATAAAAAAACTTACCGGCTGTCTTTGGAACGACACTGCTGTACAGCTGTTCAAAAAGTAAATTTTACATTTCATTTATTAAATTTAAGTTTTCGGTTATCCTATTATTAATTTTAAAATTTTTATTTGAGACGGTAAAACAAAAAATGACGGCGGGAACTTACTTCCATGACAACTCGGCCTGCATTTGAACTTCCGATAGATATGTCAAAATAAACTTTTGGGTTGGCCATCTTGCTCAGATTCCTCGTAAAGGTCAACAAAAATGGACACTGAAAACAGATTAGAAATGAGAGGAATGGAAGAAAAATGGAAGATAATGAAAATCAGCTAGCAGGCGAGGTCCACAATCAAGCTGGCTAGAAGGAGGCGTGGTCTTCGCAAACGGAAGTTAATTCAGATTTAAGGCGCGTTTTAAAAAATAGTCTCAATTTAAAACACAGTAATCAATGCTTACAAAATTAAAAATAATTTTGTATAATATAGCTAACTCGAAACATTATGATAAACTTAATTTACAAAAAATTGTACAATATTATACAATATTTTACACTTTACAACATAACTAAAAGTGAATTTATATAAGTAAAAAACGGTCTCAAGTGCACGGGCAAGAAGTCTTGTGAGACAGGCCACAGGAAAGAGATTTTAATGATTATTACGATAATTATCAAATAATGCGATTGTGTACATTCCATATAAAAACTAACCAAAACCATTGCTTTACTTCTTTCAGAGTTTCGTCACAAACTTTAAATCACCGATCAATCGCCTCCTTGGCCTTTAAATTTAAAAAATGAAAACTACTGCATGCAGTGATGAACGTGCACGATAGGAGCCGCTTTTATCCGAGAGCACCGTACTAAACAAACTAATATTTTCTTTCTTATTTCATATAATTTGGTTTATTTTATTGTTTTTCAGGACAGATTTCTGTGAAAATAACTTCTTTAGACGCTGTAAATTAGAAGATTGACGATCATTGTTTTCATTTTTAAAATTTTTGTTTACCCCATCTTTGTACGGCGTTTAGTCAGATCGAGCACTTTAAAGTAAAATAATAATAAATATAATAGTGCGAACGATTCTGTGTTTTTCGTCATACTTTTTTATTGCTGCACTGTTATATGAAATGTGTAATGTGTAATGTAATGAGCTCAAAATACAAATTTGCGCTGTTAAAGTTCTAAATTCGGAAAACAGAAACAGTGCGAGATTCGTAGGATGACATCTTGTTTGATTCAAAACAAAAAGTTTCATTGCAGGGAATGGGCGTTCAGTAAGATTCTCCATTGCTTAGAGAACCGTTCAAATGCGAAGACTTGTGGTGTGCTGATCGTGGGCGGGCCAGGCTGTGGCAAGACCGCGTTGAGTTGCGAATTGGTCTGGCCGACTGGCAAAACCACAAAAAATCATTATCTGAGCAGAAGATTGCTGGCCTACCATTTCTGCCAGGCTCACAACATAGAAACTCTCCAAATTAAAAGTTTCATTACATCTCTTGCAACGCAAATTTTCAACTGGTCATATGTTGATCAATCGGAAACAAAAAAACTGTTTACAGCTGATCAGATTTCTGAGCTGTGCATCAACTTGGCAGAAACAAAGCAACCAAGTGAGGCTTTTGCCACACACCTGCTTGAACCTTTGAACAAAATTGAACCACCAGCCAATAAAACTTTGTTTATTTTGGTTGATTCAATTGATGAATCATCTCCTCTACAGACAAAAAGTGAAACATCAAGTACACAGATTGCCGAGTTATTAGGAAAATATCACCACTTGTTCCCACCATGGATACTGTTGGTGTGCACTGCCAGAAAACAAAACAAGCTCATCACACATCTGTTCACAGGTTTTAAAAAAATAAGTCTAGATGACCTGAAGAAACCTCACGTTGTGAAGGATGTCCAGCAGTACATCCTCAACAGACTTGACAAGGAAGAAAAATTGAAACTCCATCTAAGCAACGAATCTCCAGAGACCTTAAACCAGCTGCACATAAAATGCAATGGTTGTTTTTTATACCTTGAAAAAGTTTTGAATTTTGTTTCAGAGAATCTTTTCCAACTGAATGAAGTTCGTGAGATACCTGGCACTTTGAATGGGTTGTATTTATGGCTGTGTCAGAAGCTATTTCCAAATGATGAGTTTGATAAAGTCAAGCCAATTTTGAATCTCATATTAGCCACAAAAAAGCCACTGACAGATTTAGAAATATATGAGTGCTTGCTGTCGAGGAAAGATGAGGATTACATAGATATCATGAATAATTTAAAACATTTCATCGTTTCTGATCAGAATGGCTCGAAAATAATTTTCCACCATAGTTTTGCAGATTGGTTGGTTGATATAAAGCACTGTACCAGCAGATACTTGTGCAACATTGGGGATGGTCATGCAATGATAGCCCTCCACATATCCTCACAATCGCCCAGGTTACCATCTGATAAGATTATGGAGCTTGCAGATCATCTGGTGCAAGCTTCTAAGATGAGTGATTATTTCTCCACATTCGATAAGCAGCAACTGGCTCTCTGGTTGCTGAACTGCTGCTCAGAATTTGAAAAAGTCTTTGAGAATGGGTTATCTGTGAATTATGATGTCAACGAACTGTTAATAAGCTGTGGTGCAATATTTAAAAATGATGAAATGAAGTGCGAGTTTGAAAAGCAGAAGGAAAGCCATTTAACATCGATCAAATCATCTCAAAATGATTTGAAAGAGAAGGAGTTAAACAAGACAAAACAGATGAAACAGTTGCAGACAAGCACGAGCAACAGCAGCAACAACCCATGTGATAATGAGACAGTCACTACAGAAACCAACACAGCCAACATCAACTTTGACGACAGTTTGAAATCATCAGTTGCTGGCACTTCCAAACCAGAACAAAAACATCAACAGCAACTCCAACAGGTGAGCATCGAAAACAGCATGCACTCGAAAAAAGATGGTTTCAATACAGACAAAAACCTAGCCAATGCAGTCAAACTAGGGAATGCAGAATTAGTGAAAAATATTCTCAAATCGGACATGATAAACGTGAATGAAGTTGACTGTGATGGTTGGACTCTATTAAGATCAGCAGCCTGGGGAGGTCACGCAGACATTGTGAACATACTGCTGGAGGCAGGAGTTGATGTTGACCAGTGTGACAGGGACGGGCGGACTGCTCTGAGGGCAGCTGCCTGGGGGGGGCACGAGAATATTGTCCTCAAGTTACTGAAACACGGTGCCGATGTTAATAAGGTTCGAGTTTGTTTCTTATGCATTTATTTGTTTGTCATTCAGGGCACTGTTCCTCTAGTTGTTTTGTTAATTACATTGAGAATAGATTGACTGTGTTGTACTTATCGTGAGGATCATTGTGGATAAAGATTATTAATTCAATAATATTTTTAATGATTATATGCATAGTTATGTAGACAGCAGTGATGATTTCAATGATCGCAGGCTGACAAGGAGGGCAGGACGGCCTTGATAGCAGCGGCTTACATGGGCCACAGCAATGTTGTTGAATATCTGGTGGAGTATGGAGCATCGGTGAATCACGACGATGTTGATGGTAGAACTGCCCTCTCTGTCGCATCATTGTGCTCGCCAGGGAATGAAGGTCGATTGAAGGTTTGCACTTCTTTCACTATTTGTACTTTTCATCTTATGGATGATTTATTAAATCATTTTGTTATTTTTCTGCTCTTTTCTTCTCCGCCTTACGCCTTTTTGCACTATTGAATAACTACTTGGTAACTAGGTTGTCTCGCAGCTGTTAGAATATGGCGCAGATCCAAACCACCAGGACAGAGAGGGCATGACCCCGTTGTTGGTGGCAGCATTTGAAGGTCATGACCTTATTTGCGAACTTCTGCTTGAGAGTGATGCAGACATTGATCATTCAGATAATGCTGGCAGGACAGCTTTGCAGGTGTGAAATGTGTGTGTGTGAGTGTGGATAGTAATTGAGTGATTTGTATGTAAAAACATTCTTCATGGCTTATTGCACTGTCTTGATTTAAATTAATGAACCTTGTAGATTCGTTTATCAAAGCCTTAATATTGTTATTCCCAGGAATGTTATTGTAGTCTTATAATAATTGTGAGTACGATAACATTAACAATTATAACAATTGATGTAATTTAGGCTGCAGTTTCTATGGGTCACTACAAAACAGTCTCCCTGTTATTGTTCTGGGGTGCTGCCATAGACACCATAGACAGTGATGGTCGTACGGTGTTGTGTTCAGCCTGCCAGCAAGGGAATGTTGATGTTGTGAGGCTGCTGTTAAACAGAGGTCTGGATGAAACACACCGAGATAACAACGGATGGACCCCTCTTCATATTGCCGCTTTTGAAGGGCACAAAAAGGTGTCTAATTCTTCATGTTTTGTTTTATTTTCTTTTTATTTATTATACCTGAATATATTTTCAAATGAATTTTTTAATTATATATTATTATGAAGTAATTGAAACACCATATTATGCTACATTTCATGTCGCTACGAAAGATTGTTGAATCCCTACTGGAGGCTGGTGCTCGTCTTTTAGAAACCGACAATGACGGTCGAGTTGCACTAATTTTAGGGGCCCAGGGGGGCCACCTAGATGTGGTCAGCGTCTTGTTGAACAGAGGAACCCCTATTGAAAGCCACGGCCATGATGGAAGAACTGCCCTCAGATGTGCTGCCACTGCTGGGAAAAAAGAAGTTGTATCATTTTTGCTATCAAGGTATGCTTACGTTTTTTTACGATTATTTCCCTTGTGATTGCAAAGATTCGAAAATGTTTTAATTCAAATAAAATTAATTTTTCAACTTTTGATATTTCAAAACTTTTTAAATGTCTTCAGAGAATGCAACATAAACAGCCAAGATGCAGATGGTCGTTCAATATTACATGCCATTGCTCTCAACTACCAGCCAAACAAGACGAACAAATTACAGATATATTCTGAACTATTAAAAATGGTTGCTTATTTGTTAGAGAAAGGAGCAAATCCTAATTTGAGAGATCTAGAGGACCGAACACCTCTTCATCTGGCATCTCTTCAGGGAAACCATCTTTTCTGTGAGTTGCTTCTCAATGATATGAAACTACTTATAGATGTCGACTCGATGGATTTTGAGGGCCGCACACCTCTGCACATGGCTTCGTTCAGGGGTCATCTCACATTGGTTGAGTTGTTCCTGAAGCACGGAGCCAATGTTAACAAGCAGTGCTTGAGAGGAGAGT